CAATCCCCAACAATGAAGGGTATCTCAAATAACCCCAAGAGTGACCCCCAAGCACCAAGCCAGAGAAAACTTTTGCCAGGAGTGGCTCAAAAAAAAAATAAAACCTCCAAAAATGATCGATAACGAAAGTATTCCAGGGCCAAGGAGTGGGGCATATAGTTCAAGTTATAGCCCTGATGTCCCCCAATCACTGCCAGGTGTAATCCCTATTTTTAAAAGAAACTCTTCTAGGGATAGTACCCTGGAAATCAGGATGCTTCTGATCTCGGCCCCCTCTCTCCACTTCTTCTGAAGCAGACCAAACTGAAATTGATGTGGGACCAGAGAGATATTATGGTAGGTAGGGGGCTTACTTTGCATATGACCAATTCTGGTTCGATCCCCAGCACCCCATATGGTTCTCCGAGCTCCCCCAGAAGTGATCCCTGACTGAGCACCACCAGGGTGGTCCCAAAACAGAAGCAAACCAAGAGAAGTTGATCAAAAATGATTTCAAAGGAAATTCAGATTGTTTGATTTATTTTGGGTTTTGGGTGGATTGTACTTGATGGTACTCAGGGCCTCCTCCTGGCTCTGTGTAGGCACCATGCAGATCAAACCTCGGACTCTTGTATGCAGGGAAAGTTCTCAGCTCATTGAGCCAATTTTCCAGACCTTCAAATTTAGATCTTGAGACACCATCATCTTGTGAGAAAATAGTATCATTTTTGAGTTTTAAAAAAGTCTGGAATTGGAGAAAAAGTACGGCAGACAGGGCTGTCCCAGGTCCCATCCTTGGTACCCCATACGGTCCCTAATCTCCACCAAGAGTAATCTCTAAGCACTGCTGTTGCCAAAAAAAAAAAAAAAAAAACAAGAAAAACAATTTGTGTGGGTTTCAGATTTTTGGTTTTGTTTTTGGCCACTTCTGGAAGTACTCAAGGGCTAATCCTAACTCGGTGCTCCAAGGTTAATCCTAACGGTACTCAGGGAACCAGATGGTGCTGAGAATTGAACCCAAGTCTCCTGAATCAAGCACATGCCCTTTGAGCCATCTCTCTGGCCCTTGGTTCAAACCTTGATTGTTGAGACCACAGGCAAGTTGATTTCTCTTCTTGAGGTTTCAAGTCATTGCTTTGTGATCAGAAAAGAATAACTGCCTGGCAGCCAGGCTTATTGTAAGGGTTGTGTGAAAGGCTTCAAGCACCTGGCCCAAAAGTAGACTTGGGACATGTGACCCCACACCCATCTGTTTCTTTGGCACTCACCCTGCCTGCTCCGGATCCTGAGAGGGCCAGGCTGACATCTCCACCCAGAGGAGTCTCATCAGGACGTCACACTGTGCAGAAATACACCACAATCACTCGACACTGATCAGATCTTTCTCAGAGAGCTGGATTCAGATAAGAATCATGACTCAGATAAGTATCATGGGTAAGAACCATGGCTTAAGGGACTGGAATGATAGTACAACGGTTCACTTGCCTTGCATGCCGATGACCTGGGTTCAATCCTTGGCATCCCTGATCTCTCCAGGAGTAATTCCTGAGTGAAGAACCAGGAATCACCTGAGTATTGTTGGGTGTGGCCCAAAACAAACAAAAGATGATTTAAGAGCAAAGAAGTAAGGGGAAATACGACAATGTGGATCAGTGGTTACACATTAGAGCCTAAAAAGCAAAGTTCAAGAAACTGTCCTCCACTTGAAGAATAGATTGACACTGAATTTGACAGCTTTTCAAGACCAGTTCCAGGGCTGGAGAGATAGTACAGCGGGTAGGGTGTTTGCCTTGCATGCGGTGGCCGACCTGGGTTTGATCCCCAGCATCCCATATGGTCCCCCAAGCACTGCCAGAAGTAATTCCTGAGTGCAGAGCCAGGAGTATCCCCTGAGCACACACTGGGTGTGACCCAAAAGGAAAAAAAAAAGGTTTTTGCTGGAGTGATAGCACAGTGGTAGGGCGTTCGCCTTACAAGCGGCCAACATGGCCGACCCAAGTTCTATTCCTCCGCCCCTCTCGGAGAGCCCGGCAAGCTACCGAGAGTATTCGATATGCCAGACACAGTAAAAACAAAGTCTCCAATGGAGACGTTACTGGGCCCGCTCGAGCAAATCGACAATCAACGGGAGGGCCTTGCAGATGAAAGGTCTTCATAGTAAAGGCCAGGAGAAAAAAGGAGGGAAAGTTTTGGAATTTCCTCAAAGAGATGGGGAGGAAAGATTGAAGTTGGAAGTTGCCAGGAGTGGGGATCGGTGTTTAGGGACAAACCCAGTGGTGTTCAGGGCTTATTCCCAGCTCTGTGCTAAAGGATCGCTCCTGGGACTGGAGCGATAGCACAGCGGGAAGGGCATTTGCCTTGCACGCAGTCGACCTGGGTTCAATCCCTGGCATCCCATATGGTCCCCCGAGCACCGCCAGGAGTAACTCCTGAGTACAGAGCCAGGAGAAACCCCTGAGCATTTCTGGGTGTGACCCAAAAAGCAAAAAAAATTAAATAAATAAAAATAAAGGATCACTCCTGGAGGTGCTCTGAGGACCATGTGTGGTACTAGCAAGGGATTGTACCGGGTACATGCAAGGTACAAGCACTTTAACCCCTGTTCGATCTCCCCAGCCTCAGAAAGATAAAATTTAGGGCAAAACTTCTCTAGCAGATAATATGGGACATATTCCACAGGGTGACCGTGAATATCAGCGGGATGGGGTAGCTCTAAGAAGCTAGAAAGATCCCATTTGTCTGACTTGGAAGACAGGGTGACCTGGCTGACTTGTCTGCACCCAGAAATCTGAGCAGTTGAGAGAAGGTTGAGGAAGGTTGCAGGGGTACTTCAGGGACTCCGGAGAAACACACGCTAAAACTCAGGCAATGCTCTTAAGCAGATGCAGCAATTGTTTACTACACTGGGATGCGAATGTGGCATAGGGTTGGGAGAAGGAATGGGGGGGGGGGAGGTGCAGAGAGGCCAAGGGGTATGAAGGGTTAAATGATGCTATGCTACTGGTGGTCCACCTCAGTGCCCTCCCAGGAGCCTCCCTCTCCTTTTCTGCAGTACCTACTGCTGGCATGGGGAACTCTTTTTCAAGTCCTTTTTCAAGTCCACAGTGCTGACTCTGTGTCTGCAGAATTGTCCAGAGACAATGTGACTGCGTCCATGCACAGCCACCTCAGTTCCACACCCAGGGGTGAGTGGCACAGCGGGGGGGGGGGGGGGGAGTGGAAACAATGCTTTTCCAGAGGGGAGGGGAGGGGAGGGAGCCACTCACCTCTCTCAGCTTCAAAATCTTCATTTGTAGAATAATAGTTGATCTAGTTCAATGCAAACAGAATTCTTAATATGATCCTATCTAATAACTTCCAGATAGCAGACACAGAAACAGCAATAAAAACAATGCCTATCGTGTCCCTATTCCTGCTTGGAGCATGTGTGAGTTTTTGTGCCACCCTATAGTTTGTCCTCTGTATTGCCACCGAGTTGGGGTCGTGGAGGGGATAGACATACCTTTGCCCCTTGGCGGGTTCATAGAATCATTCGGATTCGTCTTGGGTGTCGTTTTAAGAAATAGCCACACCCCACATTTAGGTCTCTGTATCTCTGCGCTTTTTAATGGGTAAAGCGAAACAGTTGGGGGGGGGGAGGGAGGGAGGAGGGAGTTTGAAGTATAGGAGTGTTTCTCTTTTGCTTATTTATTTATTGGGGTCCGAGGGCAAAGCCAGAGATGCTCAGGGCTGACTCCTGGCCCTGCACTCGGGGATCATTCCTGTCGGGTCTGGGGCACTCTATGGGGTGCCGGGATCCAGCACCCTACCGGCTGCGCGCTGGCTCTCGGGTGCAGGGGTCTGGCTGGTCCCGTGTCCCGCGGACCCGGCAGGGGCTCTCCAGGTAGCTGTGGATGTCACCGTTTGGACCTGGTTTATCGTTCCGCATCTTCATCTGGCTCGTTTCAACCAAGTTTCCTCTTCAAACACACCCCCTCCCGCCCCCCTCCTCCACCCCATTCCACTCTTGGGAACCGGGCGGCGGTGGGACGTGCATGCGGTCGATACAGAATGCAACGCCAGCCAGCCCCGAGGGCGCGTCTCCGGGGCCAGGGTGGGGCCCCAGGTCGGGAGCGGTCTCCCGTCTTTCCTTCCCCGCAGGGGACGCCGTAGGCGGCGATGCGGTCCCGTCGCTGCCCCCGCCCCTCGCGTCCGGCCGCGCCGTGGGTTGCGGTCTCTGTGGGGGCGGCAGCTCCCGTCCCGGAGGTTTGCGCCTGGCCGGGCACCCCGGAGCCGCGGGGAACCCAGAAGGCGAGGCCCCGGCGGGGTGGGGCGCGTCCCGGCGGGGAGGGCCATCGCAGGCAGCGCTGGGGGCGCCGAGGGCAGCGGGCGGGCGGCGGAGCGAGCGGGGCGAGGGCTGGCCGGGGCCGGGGCCGCCCGCCCGAGGGGGAGGAGGCAGGGCTCGCCCTTGCTGCAGGTTCGCTGGGAGCACGCAGGGAGGCAGGGACATGGGTAGGGTGCGGTCTGCGCGGGGCCGGAGCCCGGATCTCTTCCATTTCCCCTCTCACTCGGCCCCGGGCTGCGCCGCAGACGGCAGCAGCTCCCGCTCCGCCCGAGCCGCCCTGACCGCCGGGCCGGGGCGCTAACCGCGGGGCCCGCCAGCCCCGCCGGCCCGGCCAGCCCAGCCCAGCCCGGCGGCCCGCAGCCCCGCCGCCCGCCGCCCCCCGCCGCCGCCGCGTTGCCAAAACAAACGGGCCGGCCTATTTATTGGCGGCCGGCGAGCCGGGCCGCTCAGAGCCGAGGCTCCGAGGGGGACCGCGCGCCGCCACCCGCCGGGGCCCCGCGCCGCCCCCTCCCCAGCCCCGCCACCACCCGCCCCGCCCCGCACCTGAGCCCCGGCCGGCCGCGTGCGGCGCCGCACCGCCCATGGAGCCCCCGCCTGGAGCCCCCCGGAGCCACCCGGACGCCTGAGCCCCCCGCCGCGCTCCCGTCGGCTCGCCCCGCTAAGCGGCTCGCCCGAGGCGCCCTCGCCCGCCTCCCTCCCGGGCTCCCCGGCCATGTCTCCCGCCCGGCTCCGGCCCCGACTGCGCCTCTGCCCGCTGCTGCTGCCGCCGCTGCTGCTGCTGCTGCTGGTGCTGCTGCTGGTGCCGGCGGCGCGGGGTTGCGGGCCGGGCCGGGTGGTGGGCAGCCGGCGGCGGCCGCCGCGCAAGCTCGTGCCCCTCGCCTATAAGCAGTTCAGCCCCAACGTGCCCGAGAAGACCCTGGGCGCCAGCGGGCGCTATGAAGGCAAGATCGCGCGCAGCTCGGAGCGCTTCAAGGAGCTCACCCCCAACTACAACCCCGACATCATCTTCAAGGACGAGGAGAACACCGGCGCCGACCGCCTCATGACCCAGGTGAGCGCGACCCGCCCTCGCCGAGCGCCGCCGTCCAAACACCGCCACCTGCCCGTTCCTACCCGCCCCCCTTGGCACCTTTGGCTCCACCGGCTGGCACGCCCCCCTTGGCACCTGCCCCTCTCGCCAAGTCCGGCTGCCTCCTGCTGCACATGGGGGGCCCGCGCCGGAGGGTCCGCAGCCATCCCCCCCAACCCCCTCCCTAGCCAGTCCCGCCGCCGAGGGTGTGAGAAGAGCCGCTCCCCCCCCCCCCCGTCCCCGCCTCGCTGCGAAGCCCCGCAGTCTCGGTGAGGGTTGGCGCCAGCGACCCCCTCGGCAGCCCCTCAAGGCAGAAGCGGCACCCGGAGGTACCTGGACTCCTCTGCCCCCTGAGCTCCCGAGAGCCGCGCCGTCCCTCCCCGTCTATCCGCCCGCGCCACTGCCGCCCCCTTTCATTCCGACGCGGTCCTGCCGGGGTCCCGCGCAGGCCGAGAAGAGAAGCGCCCGGCGCGGAGGCGTCTTTCCTGCCTGCGCGCGCTCGGGGAGCGGCGTCCGACTGGGGTCTGGGCTTAGGGACCGGCGGGGAAGGTTAAGCCGAGAGGCCAAGGTGGGAAAAGGAACTTAACTTGGAGGGGTAGCGCACGTGTCTGTCCCCCGCAAACGAGAGGCGCAACGGCGGTTAAAGGGTGTCGTGGAGCGCGACCTTTCGGTCTCTACGATGGAAGTTGGGGTGTCCCTGGGGTTGGCGGTGGGAATGAGGAGGGTCGGGGAAAGAGGGGCGAGGATGCGGGGAGCGCGGCGGGGCGAGCTGGGAGAGACCTGGAGGAGAGCGCTCACACGCGTCTCTGCGCGCTCTGAGAGCCGCGCGCTCTGGTCGGAGCGCGGGGCCGCAACTTTCGTCCCCGCAGCTGGGTGGCGAGCACGCAGGCCTACGCCCCCTTTTCGTTCCCAGGGATCGGCCCGGGCCCTCCCCGGTAGGCAAGCAGCCCGCTGTCTAGGTGCTTTCGGAAGAGCAGTTTAGATCACTCACGGCCCTCAGCTTGCGCCCTGGCGCCGGGGCTGGCTGGCCAGTGTCGGGGCGAAGGTTGGCTGGTGGCCGGGCCGGGCCGGGCGCCGAGGAATGCAGATAAGGATCCGGGCCACGGGCTGGGAAATCATTGACAGTGCGCGCCCCGGCTCTGGACCCGAGGGGGTGGGGTAGGGGGAGAGGGGCGGGAAGCAGGGGCCCGCGGGGCGGCCTTAGGCGAGGGTCTAGGAGCTCAGCGGCCAGAAGCACATGGAACTTCCTCCCTGGGCAGTGAACAACCCCCCCCTACACACACACACACACACACACACGCGCACACACACACACACACACACACACACACACACACACACACACTCCAGGCCTCTGGGACTGGGAGGATCTGGGATTTGGCTGCTGGGACACGGAGTCCAAGGGTCTGTGGGGCCCCAGGCTTTGCCGGTTGAGGGGGTAAGATGAGACTTGGGTTGCCCACACTTGGCAGCGCCTCGATGCTCAGGCTACTCCCGCCTCTCCACCCTCCACCCCCACCTCCAGCCAACTGCAGGGTCCCTTGGGTGCTAGGCACGCCGTGATCATCTCTCCGGTCCTTCGCCGGGTCTTTGCGTTCTTCCTCTGTGAGGTGGAGCGTGAAGTCAGCTCGCTGGGAACAGAGGTGCCTTTGGCTCGGGGCCCTTCCCCGATATGGGCAGCGTGGAGGTTCCGAGGGTTCTGGATTCAGCGAGGATGCTGTTTGGCATCAGCTATCGCGCGCGCGCACTCGCGCGCGCCCCTTGTCGCAGGAGATGCTCCGCCCTGCACCCCGCCAGATTAGGCGCCAGCCTTGCCTCTAGCTTCGGGCTGTCAGAGCTAGGCATCCCCGCATCCCCGGGGCGCGCGGGCTGACCCGAGAGCCTAACAAATTCGAGGAGAAAGGTTGGGTGGCGCTGGAAGGGTTGGGATTCACCCACCAATTCCCGCCACCCTCCCACGCTGCGGGGGCGACGCGCACCTGCCGCGCCTCGCAGACCCGAGGCCTGGAGCCTCAGCCCTGGGGCTACGGTGACATCTACTGGCCACGTCCGGCCTTGCACGCCTAGCAGGCCAGCCGCAGGCGGTCGACCCCAGCTCACCACTTCCACCCTAGAGGCAGGGGCGGTCCCTGCTGCCCCCGGGCGCCTCTAGGAGAGCGGGTCTAGCTGTTGGAAAGGTGCAGTCCGGTGGTTGGGCTGGGCAGAGCGCGTGCCGAGGGCAGGAAGCGCTTGCTAAAGAAGGGGCGCTCCGAGGGCGCCCACCGGATTCGCCGCGCCCCAGGTGCCGTCCGGCTCTCCCTCCCAGGCGGCGAGTGCGCCGGGAGAGTCCGCGGCAGGCTGCGCGTCCGCCGTCCCCCGCCACCCGGTCCTCGCTCTAACCCGGCGTGCTTCCCGCCGCAGCGCTGCAAGGACCGCCTGAACTCGCTGGCCATCTCGGTGATGAACCAGTGGCCCGGCGTGAAGCTGCGGGTGACGGAGGGCTGGGACGAGGACGGACACCACTCGGAGGAGTCGCTGCACTACGAGGGCCGCGCGGTGGACATCACCACGTCGGACCGCGACCGCAATAAGTACGGACTGCTGGCGCGCCTGGCGGTGGAGGCCGGCTTCGACTGGGTCTATTACGAGTCCAAAGCCCACGTGCATTGCTCCGTCAAGTCCGGTGAGCCGCTGCCCGGGGGCTGGGCCCGGGGCCGGGGCCGCAGGGCGTGGGCAGGCACCGCAGGGCCCCCGGGGGCCAAGAAGAAGAGGCCGGCCAGGGGATGGAGGCAGGGACCCGGGGCCAGAGGACATCGGCGGCGGCGCTCCCAGCTGCTGCTGGTCACCACCTGCCCCTTCTATGCCGGGTAGTGCCTTCTCCCACCCCCGCGGGAACCTAGGGAAACAGGAAGCCCACCGTCCAAAGCCTGCTGCAGGACGCTAGCAAGCTCGGCAGACTGACGCCCCCCCCCCCCTCCCGCCAGGGTCCAGAACAGCACAGAGGCGGGGTGGGGCCAGCACGAGGGACACCCCCCCCCCCCCAAGTCCCGGCCACAGAGGTTCAGATGCCTCCCACCCGCCTGCAGGTCAGGCCCATGAATGCGGGAAGTACCCACTCTTCCCAGGGGGCGCAGGCTCTCCCCCGGTGCCCTGGTGCTGGATATTTTGGGGGCCAATTCAGCCGTGGGGGCCAGGATAAACCAAATGGACTCAATAAAGTGGATTTTCGCAGAATGACCGCCTTGTTGATCAGAATTGACAGGTACCGGGGGAACCTTCATCCCCTTCCTCACATCTCAGCATTGCCTCTCCCCCATCACCTACACTGAACCCCAACACGTTCCTGCTGTGACAGCCTGTCCAGCCCCATGGGCAGAGGGCTCAGTCCTCTGCTAACGCTGAGCGGGGGCATCCAAGCAGTGGCACTCGTTGACTAGGCACGCACAGACCACACCACCTCCCTTTTCTCCAGGTCCCTTACCCCACTCAGCATCCAGGGTTGGTCCCCGGCCACCCTGTCCCTCCACATTTCCCTGCCAACGATGTCCACTTCCAGCCACACACGACCTTCCCCTGCAGGCTCAGACTCAAAGGGGGTACACTCCAGGATCCCCACTTCCCCCAACACGGTTCTCTACCCCACTCTGGGTCCACCCCACATGGGACCAATACATGAACAAGCCCCTGCACCAGGTCCTGGCCTGACCCTATGAGCCCCTCTTCCCCCAGGAAGTGACTCTTGCGTTTCCATATATAGACCCCAGCATAGCTGTGACACAGACCTGGGGGTGTCTAGCTGAAAGGCAGTGCTAGTGCAGTGGGAACCTCTGAACATGTAGTTTTTATTTTTATTTTTCCTTTCGTGGTGATGATGGCCGGGGGGGGCGGGGGGGATGATGTCAAGTCCAAAGGCTCTGGATGAGCGGATGAGCTACAAGATTTGTTTGGGGGATTGCGGGGCCCGAGCCGACCACCAACACCCGCTTCCCCTCTGAGCCCTTCTTAGCAAAGTCAGGATGAGAGCAGACGACGTCTCTGCCCCGTCTCTGGGACTTTGGATACCCTTTCCCTCCACCTCTGGGACTAGATGCCACACTATGTTCTCTGTGGCAGAGGGGGGAAGACGGGGCCGATGGATGGTGGGGTGGGGTGGGCCCAGGGCTCACTGGAAGGAAGGGAGTCTGCAGAGGGGGTTTTGGGAGCAGGACGGAGCTCTGTCAGCCACAGAATAATAGCATGGTGTCCCTTCTTCCCACAGAGCATTCCGCCGCGGCCAAGACGGGCGGCTGCTTCCCCGCGGGCGCACAGGTGCGGCTGGAGAGCGGGCAGCGCGTGGCCCTGTCGGCGGTGAGACCTGGAGACCGCGTGCTGGCCATGGGGGAGGATGGGAACCCCACCTTCAGCGACGTGCTCATCTTCCTGGACCGGGAGCCAGCCCAGCCCAGGGCCTTCCAGGTCATCGAGACCCAGGACCCTCCGCGCCGCCTGGCACTCACACCCGCCCACCTGCTCTTCACTGCCAACAACCACACGGAGCCCGCGGCTCACTTCCAGGCCACCTTTGCCAGCCAGGTGCAGCCCGGCCAGTACGTGCTGGTGGCCGGGGTGCCGGGCCTCCAGCCGGCGCGAGTGGCCGCTGTCTCCACCCACGTGGCCCTGGGGGCCTACGCCCCGCTCACCAGGCATGGGACGCTGGTGGTGGAGGACGTGGTGGCCTCCTGCTTTGCGGCAGTGGCCGACCACCGCCTGGCCCAGCTGGCCTTCTGGCCTCTGCGACTGTTGCCCAACTTGGTGTGGGGCAGCTGGACCCCGGGGGAAGGCGTCCACTGGTACCCCCACCTGCTCTACCGCCTGGGACGGCTGTTGTTGGAAGACAGCAGCTTTCACGCCCTAGGCATGGCCGGGCCGGGGAGCTGAATGGGTCCCTCCACTGCACTCCTGGAACAGACCCAACGGGCTGGCCTCAGCCTCCCCGCCAGAGGGCGCTGGCCCCGGAAGGGACCTGAGCAGATTCACTGGCCGCCCACCGTCACCACCGCCACCCTAGAGCTCCAGGGTTGAGACTTGTCCCCCACCGGTCTCCTGGTGTGGCGAAGGACCCAGGAGGTTGAGCCTGCGGTGGGGAGAGTTGGCGGGAGGCCTTGCTCCTGGCCCAGACACATGGAGGCTGGCACGGCTGGGACTGACACAGCCGGCACACACCCAGGCTCTTCACCCCGGCCACCTTTTGGGGGAGAATCCAGCCCATGTCTTGGCGCCCCTGTAGGTGGGCTCACACCTCGGTTGATGCTGCTAGATTCCCTGGGAGCCAGCAGAGAGCTGGCTGGACTCATGGCTGTCCTGGACTGAGAAGGCCACACAGTGGGACGCCGTCCTGCCAGTATGGGGGCAAGGGGGTCTTTTCCTCCTGCCACCCTCCTCGGGAACGCATTCGGGCACTGCTGTCACGGCTTCGGTGGCTTCGATGGCTTCGGTGGCCAGAGGCCCATCCGTGTTCCAGCCAATGTGATCACTGTGGCCGGGGTCAGGAGCAGTCCGGACAGCCATTCCCAGCCCTGCCCAGGGTCAGCGCCCCTTTCTGCTGAATCATGACCCCACCCCCTCCTCCAGGCAGTCTCCCCCACCTTATTTATTGGCTCGGAGAGGGGAAACCTATGCGAGAATTCGGGGGATGTTTTGGTCTTTTCTTCCTTTTGTAATAAAAATTATTTAAGTTGTTAGAGCCCGGGAGTCTTGGATCAATGCACTGACTGCCTCGATATGTGTGTGTGTGTGTGTGTGTGTGAGAGAGAGAGAGAGAGAGAGAGAGAGAGAGAGAGAGTGTATGTGTGTGTGTGTGAGAGTGTGTGTGTGAGTGTGTGTGTGGTAGGGTGTGTGTGTGAGAGTATGTGTGTTATGGTGGTGTGTGTGTGGTGAGGTGTGTGTGTGCGCACGCGCGTGCGTATAAGCATCCATGGCTCACCTCCCTCCCCTCCTGGCACCTCCAGGTTCCCACGCTCTCGGTTCACTTTTTCTCACCAGGCAAAGCTTTTGCACCCCCCTCCCCAACATTGGCCTAAACCCAGAATCAGAGAACAGCCCCCACTTTCCTCAGCCAGAACCACAGGCCTGTGAAGGAGGTGGGGCACCTCTCCCCACTCCCCCCCCCACCACCCTGTCTCTCTCCAGGTCTCTAACTGGGGCTTGATAAGCAAAGATCCTATTGGTCTTCTGGCTCATTCTGACTAACTGGAAAGGTTAGAGGCCACTAACCTAGTTCTCTAATCTCAGGATTGCCTGGACAGTTTGCTCCTTTGCTTTTTACTTTTTTTGAGGGGGAGTGAGGTGGGGTGAAGTGGGGATCAGGGGTGGGCCATACCCAGTGGTGCTCAGAGTTTACTTTTGATTCTGTACTCAGGGAACACTCCTGGCAACACTCAGGGGAATATACACAGTGCTGGGGACTAAACCAAGATTGGCCACATGCAAGACAAGTTACCAACAGCCCTGTCTTCATTAAAACTGTCCTCCCGTTGTTCATCGATTTGCTCGAGCAGGCCCAGTAACGTCTCCATTTTGAGACTTGTTACTGTGTTTGGCATATGGGCAAGATACTCTCGGTAGCTTGCCCGGCTCTCTGAGAGGGGCGGAGGAATCGAACCCAGCTTGGCCGGGCTGGCTGCACGCAAGGCAAACACCCTACTGCTGTGCTATCGCTCCAGCCCATTAAAACTAAATAAATAAATAAACACCTCCCACAACCGCCACCATGTACGCTCAACCATTGGCCAGCTTTATAGACTCACGATTAATTATTGGAAGAGGTCAACTAGCTGTAAAAATTCATAGACACACGGGTCCCCCACCAACTAAAAATGGGGGTGCCCTCGTGAAGGGGAAAAGTCTAGTGTCCACCCGGTTGAAGTGCTAGTAGCCACCCCCCACACATACACACCAGCTGCCACCATGCCAATGACCCAACTCTATTGCCTCATGACAAACTTCTGCAGAGATGCGAAACTGCCAGAAATTCCAGGTACACTGGTCTTCAGGCTGAGCAAGAACTCTGGAATCTTCTTGGAGTAGGGGAGGGAAGACCCCACCCCCATACTTCTAGAAGCCCTGAAAGATATATCCATAACCCCACAACCACTACTATGTATATGCATGGCCCCATTAAATATTCTGGAGTTCCTGAAGGGTGCAGCTACATTTGTGACTGCATGACAGCTCCAAATTTTATAATCCCGACATCCCAACAGGAGCACAGCAAATAAGATGGGGAAGTTCCAGAGAAGTCAACTAAGTTCAATGAAAACATTAACACCAAAGGCTCAACTAGCAACAAACACTTAGTAAACCTTCAGACAAGGACTAAAGGATCCCATGGTTAGATATAACAATTTTCACAATTTTTTTCCACTGGAGTTTTTTTTTTTTTTTTTTTTTTTGCTTTTTGGGTCACACCTGGCGATGCTCAGGGGTTACTCCTGGCTTTGCACGCACTCCTGGCGGTGCTCGAGGGACCATATGGGATGCTGGGAATTGAACCCGGGTTGGCCGCGTGCAAGGCAAACGCCCTACCCTTTGTGCTATTGTTCCAGCCCCCGGAGTATTTTTTAATCATTCCATTAGTCATTTAGTTGTAACAAACCATATAAAATAAATTATGTGTGCCTGCTCAGGAAACTGGTGTGTGTGGGGGGGTCGTGGGAAAATGGGGACAATGGTGGAGGGAAGGTGACAGTGGTGGTGGGGTTGGGGTTGGAATATTAGATGCTTGTAACAAATGCATCATGGACAACTTTGTAAACTTTGTGTTTAACTAAAGGGGGGAAATCACATTATCTTAGGGGAACCTCCCAAGCAGTGTTCTGGGGGGCCATCCTGGAATAAACTTGGCCATCTGACCCAGATGGCATCATGTTTGGACCAAGGATGCCAGGCCATATGGGCCCTGCAGTGTTGAGGACCATTGAAGCCACACCCGAAGGAATTCAGGGGCCATGTGGTGTCAAAGATCGAACCCGGACCCTCGTGCATAGAAGGCATTTGCTCTGACCACTGACCTAACTTCCTGGCCCCCTGGACAGCTTGTTTAAAAACGATTCCCTGCCCTACTTCCAGGAGATCATTTCAGATCCTGTGTGAAGTCTAGGAACAGAGTTTGGCGAATCCCCAAGAGGTGGCTGCCATGACCCTTACATTGAGAAACATTGTTTAGTCTGGAGCGAGCTGAGTTCTAGTGCCAGAACAAGATGAGCCCTTTCACCATGTTTGTTTGTTCTCTCTATCAAGGTAGGTTTTCCCGTGCCTACCAGGAATAGCTGCGTCCCAGGTCCAGGGCAGGTCAGCTCAAGCCCACAAATGTTAGAAGCCTGAGACCAGAGCAATAGTGCAGTGGGGAGGGCATTCTCCTTGCACGAGGCTGACCTGGGGTAAATCCCTGGCACCCCATATGGTCCCCTGATCACTGTCAGGAGTGATCCCCAAATCAAGAGCCAGGAGCAAGCCCTGAACACAGCTGGGTGTGGCCCCCAAACCAAACAACAAACACAAAAGGAGTGTGAGCCCGTCAAAATGAGCTGCCGGGTATTCCCAGCAGGGAAACTGGTTCCCCACCCACTCACTGAAGAGAGCCAGTTAAACCCACCCCTGCCTACCCTGGTTCTGTCCCCTTACAGAGGCCATCAGGGATGAGGTGCCCACTGGTGCCTTCTCTGCCGCTGCCTCTTCCAAGGAAAACTCCAGGAAAAAAAAAACTTCATTTCCTGGGGACTGTGGCATCTGGTGGGAAAATGGCCCCACAGGTGGTCATGCCCTTGAATGACGGCTCCCATGGCTGGCTTTGTGTGCTTGACAGGTGACACCCATGTGTCCCCACAGCAAGCCTGTGTGCACCCTTCTCTCCTCTTCTTTGGGGGCCACACCTAGCAACACTCAGGGGATAGTCCTGGCTTTGCACTTGGGAATTACTCCTGGAAGTGCTCAGGGGATCAAATGGGATGTCGGAGATCAAGGCCCTTCCTGTGTACTACTGCTCCGGCCCCTCCTCTCCCCTCTTGCCACTTTGCAGATGAGAAGCCAGTCACCCCCTGGAGCCAGAGCACAGCAAGAGGGCACTGCCTTGCACAGGGCTGGCCTGAGTTTAATCCCTGAAGCCCTACATATGGTCCACCAAGAGTGATCCCTGAGGGGCTGGAGAGATAGCACAGCGAGTGGGGCGTTTGCCTTGCACGCGGCCGACCCAGGTTCGATTCCCAGCATCCCATATGGTCCCCTGGGCACTTCCAGGAGTAATTCCATGAGCCAGGAGTAACCACTGTGCATCTCTGGGTGTGAACCAAAAAAATTAAATATATATATTATATATGTGTTCACAAATGAGCTGGGTACTTCGATCACCCTTTCATACTTCACACTTCTCTTTGCCAAAATGAAAAAAATATAACACCAGAGGCTGGACGGATGTATCATAGAATGGATAAGGTCATTGCATTGCAAGCAGCTACCCCGGGTTCAATCCTTGGGCCCTGAGCATGGCCAGGAGTGATCCCCGAGCACAGAGCCAGGAGTAAGCCCTGAATACCACCTGGTGTGGCCTCCGAACCAAATTTTATAGATAGCACAACACCAACATTTCCTCCATAACCTTCTTCTGTGACACCAGCTCTGACATCTCTGAAGTGTTTTGCAGCCAGACGAAAGCGCGGGGCTCCCCTTCCCCAGACAGGAGGAGGAGAGAACTGAATGTCAGTTTCCCCAGAGATCTCTCCATGGGTGCCACCAGATCATCCCAGGCACTCCACAGACCCGGGGTGTGGCATGCTGTAAGCTCCAAGACTCTCAACAGACCCCCACCATTCCCTGGGACCACTGGCTGGGGGAGATGGCAAGTGTCTGTCCAGAGCAAACAGAGCAGAATTAGCAGTCGGAGA